TATATATATATATATATAATCTATTGTGACGCAGCATCGGCTATCGATCAAGAGCAGATGCAGGAGGATCTGGATCTGCTTGTCGTCTCGAACTTTCTTTGGGCTCTTATACTTAGGGATCTTTCTCGGGGGTTTAGGGTTTAGGGTTGGGCTCGTCTTGTGGCCAGTATGTCTCACTCAACCCCTCTGGTCTCAAGCATGTTGACGTGTTGGCCACATGGGCCGGATATCTGAGATCATGAAAACATTGCAGACACATAAGTTGCTGCGCATGTCTGCGCAGAGATGTGGCAGGGAGCTTAGGCCGCAGTCTTTGTGCACTGTTGAACGAAGGGGGGTACGTCCCACAGAAAATCCTGAGCCGTTTTGCTGGTGTGGACAGCACTGTCGAACTGGCGATGTTGAAGACGGTGTCATTCTTTGCGTTCCTGCTCAGCCCCCAGGACATGGAAGGGCCTCACTTTGAGCCGCCGAGGAAGCGAGGCTGTGCAAGCTGTTCAGCAACGGCCCTGTGGGTGGGTGTTCGTCATGTGGGTCGCGTCCAGGTGACTTCCTCAGTTCACGGCCCAGGCAGGGAGTCGATAGGCTGCGAGCAGCGCGATGAAAGCTGCAAGCCTCTGATCGCTTGCAGATTACATGGAAGCCGCTACGTTGATGCCCTTCCGGATGTGGATCAGCAGCTAGAGAACTCAATCGTGCCTCCCTCGGACAGCAGTTTTGCATTGCCTTGCTTGTAGGCTGCTTCGGATGACATCTTGCTTTGTGTCGTCTGCCGACTTTGGCAGTCAGCGCATCACATCGACTTAAAGCGCTCTTGGAGCAAGGTCATGGGCGATCTGGCTTGGGTCAAGGACCCCGCTGTTGGCGGTATCAGAAGGGCCACAACGGAGGTGTCAACGTGCTCAATGTGCATGTGCTGCATGTAGGACTGCATCAAGAAGGGTGCAAACGTGAACTGCCGACTAGACGAGAAGGGCTTTACCCCTTTGATGCTGGCCTCAGAAGGCCCTGAGGGCCTGCTTTTGGGGTCCCTTGGGAGCATCTCGAAGTCCGAAGGTGGCTGGGCAAACATCGTGAGATACCTGGTGGAGAACACCGATGTAGAAATGGACGCGGTGGATTCAGGAGGCCTGTTTCAGTTCTTTGCGGGCCTTCCTTGCCATTTTAAGGTCTGCATAGCAACTTGGTAACCGCTTCGGTCATGCGAGTCGTAGGCTACATGTTCATGAAATTCTCTGAAGTTAGCTCGTACCTGCAGCAGGCTTCAATGCAGCGGACATTGCCGCACTCAACGGCTACCTTAGCTGGGAGGAGCGAGGAGCCTTGGCAAATTGAACAGTTGTGTTGTCTCTGGGACGTCAGGATTTAAGAGCTTTCTGAGCTGAAGGTGCTTCCTGAACTCAGGTAAGAATGCTGATGTCGCAGACATTGTCAACTATCTGAAGGTCCCCCCCTGACCGTGCTCGTGTCTCATGAGAGCATCCGCGTGGGGAGACCGTGATGCAGGACCGAGGCCTCGAGTACACTTGGAGGGGCGCCGTCATCGGTGCGGGCACCCAAAAGGAAACTAAGGGTCAGGGGGTTTTGAGGGCCCCGCCCTCCTGGCCCTCCCTCCGAGCTCGGCTTGGAGTGCCTCCAAGTTGGGCCTTATTTTTACCGCTGCTTGGAGGTGGCGACATCGATCGCATCAACGAGTTCCTGGAGAACGGTCAGGATATCGAGGAGCGAACGGGTGCGGGGCTCGGCTGAGTGCAGGTCCAAAGGGACCCCGAAGACTCTCAAGAATGCCTGCGCTCTTTATGAGGTTACTACTGCGAGGGCAACCTGACTCAAGTGGGCAGAGTGATTCTGGTCAAGACGATTCCGGAGTGCTTGAGACGTCCCTCGTATCCCAGGCAACTATCAGTACACGGCCTTCCAAATGGCCATGAAGTTTGGACGCCAGAATGTTGCCCGCTACCTGCTGTGTGTGGTACTCATTTGGTTGCTGCAGAGAGAGTAAAGGATGTAGCTGGGCTGTTTGCGGATCAGACCTGTTTCGTGAGGTCTCGGTGCTGTGATACCCAGAGACATTTGCGAGACGCAGATACCTTTCGAAAGTGAGCTCAGGGGTTTCACGTAGTGGAGTACAAGCTCTTGTAAGCAGTCTTCCGTATATGCTCAACTTCGTCAGCCATTTGTGGTGGACTAAACTCTACACTTGATCTGTGGACTTTGTTTGGCAGAGGCTGCAGTGATGTCGAGTTTTGTCTTGGGTGCAAGCCTTCTGGCCAAAGTCTCTGCCTGGTGCCGATGCAGTTCGTGTCCTTATCGCTGGAGACAAAGACTGAGCCAAGTTTCTTGCAGTGGGCAAGTATGACGGTGCAACCTGCCAGTGATGAATTGATGCAGAGCAAGCTCGGAAAGCTCTTCCCAACGTGACAGCTCTTCGTTACAGCACTCGAAGCTAGATTCGATCCCCGCAAGGTCCCTTCTCGACCGCGTCAGCGGTCGAAGGAGAGCCGTGAGAGTCTGGGTCCAGAGGTGCCTCGACTATATCTCTCTCGACTACGATTCGTCGTGCTCTAAAGTCGTCGTCGAGATGCAAGGTGCCGGCGCAAGAGAACCTGGTCGAACGGCGCCGGCAGGCTCGGTACATCCTTCGAGACATGGTAGCACCGCCGTTTTGTCATCCTGTGTGTTTTGATTTGCGGATGTCTGCAACGTGCGGAGATGCCTGCAGGCGCCAAAGCGGTCGTGGTCGCTGGGAACTTGTGGAGGTCAGGGTACTGCGATCTTGCCATTGTGAAGTCCCATGTCCGCCGTGCGGGCCGTGCAGACATCGAGCAGCTTCCCGTGTGACTCGCAAAAAGCCTCTTGCCCTCAGAGCCATCTGCAGGTCCAAACCTTTGGCAGGCAAGAGAGTGCTGCCTGCATCGAGTCGAGAGCGGACACTTCAAAAAAGGACCCATTGGTGCTCCTCCGCAGGTTCTTCAAAACAGATTGGGACTGCATCAGTCACAGGACTGCGTCGCCAGAGACATTTTTGATGTGCCGGTGGGATCTGCAACGCCAAGTTTGGAGGGCGTGGTCAGCCTCGAAACCTCGGAACCCCACTGCTCCAAGCCTCCAAAGCATCTGCTTGTGTTTGGCGGCGCGATGCACAGCGGCAAAGTAGTCAAGTGAGAAAGCCAACGGAAGTCGCTGATAAAACAAAACTTTTTCATTGTAGGAAATATCGTGCTCTCTCTCTCTCTCTACACTCTCTGTTTAGACATATACGTATACCCATGCATGTACATGTGTACATGTAGGGCATGCATGCATACGTATAATAACCAGAGATATATATATATATATATACAATATACATATCTATATACTCAAACACACACACACACACACACATATATATATATATATATATATATCACACGCACACGCACACACGCATTGCGACCGCCCTGGGGAGGGGGAACTGAAAGTCCTCCGCCCCACTCCATTCTCCGTGGCCGTTCCACTCGCGCCACTGTCCCACTCGCCCCTCGCCACATTCCGAGTCCAACACATTAACGAGGGTGGAACAAGTTGAGCGGGTTGGGCGCCCCGTGCGCCGCAGCCATTCCAAACTCTGCGAACCCTAGGCCTGAGGGTATGGGCCGGCCCGGAAGCCCGGCGCTCGCTCGTTCCACTCACGCCACACGTGCCACACTCGCCACACGCACCAGGCGAAAGGAACGAGTGGAACAAGTGACAAGTGGAACAGGTGCGGTGCAAGGCGAGTGGAACGATAGAGCGAGTGGAACGAGTGGAACAAAACGATTTGGCGCCCTCCACGCCGAAACTCTCCACATATATATATATATACACACACACATGCATAGACATTACTGTGCATATATATATATATATACTCGAGCAGATATCTGTATGTATCTAGACATATATATATATATGTATGTATACATACAACGTACGTGCACATGAATGAATGTATGCATGCATTTATGTATGTATGTATGTATGTATGTATGTATGTATGTGTGTATGTATGTATGTATGTATGTATGTATGTATGTATGTATGTATGTACGTGCGTACGTCTGGTCTTTCTGGTTTGTCTGCTGTGTCTCATGTTTGTATGCCTGTCTTTCCGTCCGTCCGTCCGCCTGTGCGTCTGTCTGTCTGTATGCACGCTCCATCGTCGCAGGAAGTGGCGAAAACGAGCCAGGTCAGCGGAAGGCATCTCCTGGGCTTTCCCGTTTCACAGTCTCTGTGCAGCAGCACAGAAGTGCCAGAGCATGTGAGGCAGAGTGCATGTACTGAAAATCTTGAAGGTAAGGCCGTGATACCGCCATCTTTATTCCTTGTAAAGTGACGCAACACTTGCCGACCTTCCCGCACCATGGGCTACCTGCCAATGCACCCCGTATTATGCAGTTTGCTCTTATCTCTTTCGTGTAGTAGTTGGGCAAAAGGTCGCTTGACAACTTTGTTGAATCTGTAGCAATCCTCTGTTTGATGACTTTAGATGACAATAGCAGAAAGCGAGCAGCAAACCGAGCTAATTCAACATGAAACAATGGAGCCACGGAGATAACTGCATAGGACGCTTCGCACGATTTAGAGAGCACATGACAATACTGTAATCTACCCCAAAATTATACGTACATGTATGCATATGTATATGTATAGTATATGTCGTAGCTTGGAGGTGTGAGTTCAGTGTTCTCAGGGTCTCACGCATCAGCATAGACACGCACGTGCACGTCTTCATGCCTTGCAAACTCATGATGGGCGGAATCTCGTTATGCAACGGACTCCTCAGTTCCATCCTATGCATAAGTCTCGCGATACTCATCGCATTGACATTGGTTGACTTGGCATACATCATCTAAGAGTTGTCATGAGCTGTCCGGATATCTGCGTCATTTTTGTTCAACAGTAGCAGGATTTGGTTGTGCTCAGACAGTCCTGGTGTCAATCAAAACATTCGAGTGCATGTAACCACTGCAGCAATCGTAGCAGCTACAACGTGCATGATAATGTTGGGGCAGGCGTGTCAACTCTACGGTGGCCAGGGCCCGAGTCACATGCAGCTGTCCGTTGATGTGGATCTTGTTTGTTCAGAACAAAGCGTTGCGTGGCATGCGGCGTGCTGCAAGGAGCGGGCCACTTCCACGGCCGGTGGAGAGGCCCGGGGAGAATGCCCAAGTACTGACGCTTGCATTATGGATCCTTGCAAGCATCGGGTGGAGTTGCGAATCGCGGTTTGATGTTGCAGCTTCGGACGTGCATTGGTAGTGGATTGGCTTTCGCCTGCAGAAGGGAGCAGACCAGCTCAGGCCGCACGGTTTTCGTAAAATGCATTCCGCTATCGAGTCAAATGTGGCACCTGACTAAACCCTGCCCCCACTTCTAACATTTCGAGACCCAGTTGGTCGTCTCCCAACTGCTGGGCGACGTGGGAGTTGGCCAGACAGTGCCAATTACAAGTTATGATAAACAAGTATTCCTTGGAGAATGCAGGTAGCATTTTGGTTTTGGTAGTAAGACTTGCAGCAGTATTTCGTACAAGTACCGGTGGTCGTATTAGTGTTTTGTACTAGCACGAGTTCTAGTGCCTGGGTACTTAGTGCAAGCACTTCGTGCCAGGTTTGGCCTTAACTGGGGGCTGTAGGGGGGTTTACCGGGCTCAGGGTGGCTTAGAGGTGTTTGGAGGGGTTGAAACAGGCTTCGGGTTAGGGTTTATGATGTATCTAACCGTGAGAAAAGATCCCGAGATCTGAGCCGCCTGTAAAATGCAGAGAAGCCTCCGAAACTGTGAAACCATGGAAAACCAAGCCTCAGACCTCCTAAAATGAGATCTCTGCCTCAGCCACAGCATCCTTTCCTAAATTCAAACTGACCATACGCAGGAGGGGAGATCCACCAAGCAAAAACTCGGCCAGGAACAAGCCACGTTATACAGTTCCTAGAATGTGGCCCCTGTCCTGGCGTAGTTCCGGGAAGAAAGCGAATGAAAGAGGGTCAGATCAACAGGGCCACATGGTACTTGTCTGTCAGGTGACACGCAATATGTCCTGGCCAGAGCCAAGCTGCCTGAATTGGCTTCGGCTTTAGCCCCGTCAGTGGCTTCCACGCTTGAGCCCTTGGGTGCCAGGACTGCCCAGTACATCTGCGAAGATCTTCAGACACGTTACGGCTGTTTGGAGGCTGACGGCGTTTCGAAAGGGAGAACGTGCCAATTGCAGACTCATACTTGTTGCCCTCTTCCGTTCTTCGGTGACATGATTGGACGAAGGTGGCTGCAGCATCAGCTGCGCTTGCTCTAAACATGCTTGGAGCTCGACTGGTGCCCAGACAGCGGTAGCCACCCAAGCCGACCAGCCAAGGTGTTCGGAGCACGACCTCAACTCCTGTTTGGTGCAGCTCGGTGACGGTGAGAAAGGCGGCCCGCTTTGCCGTCCTGCACCTGCAATCAGCGTTGGACCCCTGGAGGAATCCGCTCCACGCCACTCTCAAAGGTGGCTGGGCACCTGCCAAGCATCAGCTTCGGTGCCCAAGCTTTCGAGGACGCCCCCGTACTCGCTTCTCGCATGTGGATGCGTTTCAATACGTTTGTGCTCCCAAGATCGCCGCTTTGATCGGGGCTCAATCCTGTCTTCGGTACGCCGTCTTTGGACCAGAAGCAAAATCATACGGAACGAATACAGGCACAGAATCCACAGCAACCGTGTGAAATCACAACGACGGTTTCTTGCCAGCAGACAGCATGAATCCGCCAACTGTTTGTAACACAGTAACACAAGAGGCATCTGTAACGAATCAGCACATGTTCCGCGTTCTTCTATTGACTGCCAGTTCTTCAGCTTCACTCGCTGCTCAGGCTGCCGTAGCTTGCTTGCATGCGATTGTAGAGGAATCGAAGGCATGCCCAGAACTGTGCATGGAAAAGCAGCTCACTTCCGGTGCATCAGCGCAAGGCATCCCTGTCGGCAGCACTGCTGTGGCGCTGTGGTAGGGATGGACTCGGCGTCCATGCTGGGCGACACTACTGTGAGGGCCAGACCGGCATGGAGGGATATTACCCTTCTCCATAGCATTTACCGTGCCTGCTTCTTCGTGTGCCTCGTCGTACAGGTGAGATAGTTGAGCGCTGCTACAGCCTCGACATTGCAGAGTCGTTGGTCCCAGCTGATGCCGGGCTGCTTCCCCTATGCTTATTTCATGCAGGTGGGATTGTGGAATAGGATGGATATCGGCTGACCTTGTGACTGAAGACAGGCAAGCAGCTGCTGTTCCCTTTTGGCTGGGGATTGCTCTACAACGAAGGCAGACTTGATCAGTGTCTGTCTTGTAGTTGGCATGTGATCGGCGCCAGAGTGGAAGGCCAGCAGATGTTATTGTTAGCTCTGCCCTTGCAGCTTTTGCAGCTTCTGCCCTCAAGCATCTGGGCCCTTGACGCAAGGCAACAAGGGAAGCATGCAAGGGGCACAGTGTCACAGTGAATGCTAGAACCGCAGGAGGCTTCACGAAAGATCTCAAAAGGATTCAAAGGCTTGCCAGCAAGCAACGCTAATCTCGACCAAGAACGGCCCTGCTCAATCCAGAATGGACCGAAGGGCAACGGACAGCTGCAGTCCTCTCTGTATCATAGAAGAGACAGCAAGCAATCATGTGCACACATGACACGAGGCTAGACAAGTTGAAAAAAACGCAGCGCCGCGTCGTATGTTTCGGGTGCTCGGCCTCAGCGGCGAGAATGTGTTGCAGCTGGACCTGGAGGTTCGGAAGACTCCGGAAGCTTTCGGCTAAAGCCATGTCTACTGCAGTGCAGTGTGCAGCGCAGCAAGCTTGCTGGATGCCGTTGGCAGGAATGGAAAGAGGAGTGCTGCTCGGACTCGGACTTTGCCCACTTCCTCAAGAGGAGAATCCATCACCACACGCGGGTCCCACACGTCCGCCAGAGGCGCCCTTCGCTGCCTCTTGCCTTCCTGTTCCCTCAGGTGAGATACTGGAAACGCCTTGTGTTTTTCCTTGACAAGACCAGGTGATCTTTGCAGCTCGGAGTCGGAGCAGTATTGCTTGTTGCAGTATGCCAAAACACAGGGACATGTAAAGCCCAGAAACTGGGCTTCAGCGTAGGCTACCAAAGTAGCCGAGGCACGGATTCCCAAACCTCCTAGCTCCGGGGCGACTACCCGAACCATCGGCCAAGTCCCTCCCTAGCCCTGAGCCCCTAGCTCATCGCAGAGCTTCGTAGCTGTCGTAATCCCAACTCGGGGGCCACAAGAATTAAAGGGATCCTTTCCTAAACCTTTTCACAGAGTTCCGGCAGGCTGTTGATGGAAGAGGGGAAGTCGTGGGAGCAGCTCGGAATCTTGGACAAGCAAGTCAAGGATGCACCTGCTGTTTTCTGCAAGCTTGTGGTCCTAAGCCAGAAACCGCCAAACCCTAAACCCGTAGAAATCCTCAACAAGTTGTGCGGTCTGATGAGTTACTTCCTAACGTCTGAAAGCCCCAAAGCCCCCATAGCCGCTGAGGACGCCCCCGGGAGGTGCAGGTGGTCCTCAACCAGGCGCTGGCGCGGAGCATTTGGATCTCCTTTCTGAGGGCGTAGGGCAGGGTTTTTGGGCGTCGGTCTTGAGTGTTCAAGGGTTTCAGGAGTTCAGGGGTTGGCGTTTAGGGTTTGGGGTTTGGAGGGATGTTTTGCACACATTACTTCATCTTCTTTCAGGGGTCATTGCTGTTTGTGACGTTTTCGACTGATTCAGGTGACCCATGACTTTGATGAGCAGCTGCTAGCCGCTGCTGCAGCAGGACCATCCAGTACCCAATTGCCGATGCCATAGAATGGCTCATGAGTCTTGCTCGAATGCCATGTGCGAAAAGTTGTTGCCAACCATCGTCGCAGACTTGTATGCGACCGACTGCCGTGGGATGTGGGAAGGTACGAGCAGACCATACAAAACAAAGATATATATATATATATATCTATATATATATATATATACATAGACTGCTCGTTTGACCGTGCTGCGAGGAGATGGTGAGATCGTGGGGCGCCTTCTCAATCGCTATCAGGCTTGGAGACTGCACAATGAGAATATTAGAGGTTGTGCTGGAAACATAGGCCCGAGGCATTTTTCTCTCGCTGACGGCAAGCCCCTCCTTACCTTGCTTGTGCTGCCCCTCGTCACCTCCGGAGTGTGAGAATTTCTGTGTTCTGGCAGACGGGCTCAGGAAAGCTTAGCTTTTCACGCCTTTGGCGAGATTCCCCTGAAAGTCTTGTACCCATAGGCTCACCGTGGCTCAACATTTCGCCAGGATCCAAATTGCCGAGATGAGCGTGGCGAAACTGCCGTCTACAAGGCGCATGCAGACGCAAACCTCTCAAAAAAGGGGTGTTTTCGTTGCATCAGAGCATAGCCTTCAGGCCAGCCAAGCTGGATACCTGCAAATTCTGCAGATGTTGCTGGAAGCCGGTGGTGAGAAGGACGACGTGCCGTGAGAGAAATGCCGATCTTTACCACCCCCTTGCCGCCCTTGGGAGGACACAGCTGATCAACATGGAACTGTACCGCTTCACGTTGCAGCTTTGCGAGGGCACCTGGATGTCGTGAGAGCTTTGATTGAAGCTGGTGCAGACAAGGATTTGGCCGACCAACATGGCGCGGTTGCCTTGCACATGGCATCCCTGAATGGTGAGGTGGAGGTGGTGCAGCTATTGGTGGAAGCTGGAGACGAGAAGGATAAAGTTGGCGGTCTGGGCGCTACACCTCTACATATTGCAGCCGAGCGAGGGCACCTAGAGGTGGTCCGCTACCTGGTAAAGGCAGGGGCAAACTTGCATTTTGCCAACTTGCGCGGAGCTGCCGGCATTCACATGGCCGCTTTGAGCGGACATGTCGAAGTGGTGCGATTGCTGGTAGAAGCAAAAGCTGAGAAGGACCAACGTGATAAACATGGGGCCAGCCCGTTGCAGCTTGCAGCCGAGAGAGGGCAAGAGGCTGTTGTCAAGTTCTTACTGGAGGCCGGAGCAAAGACGGACCAACGTGATCAGCACGGGAGCGTTGCTTTGCATGTTGGAGCCTTACATGGACACCTTGGAGTCGTGAAGGGCCTCGTCGAGGCAAAGGCTGACAAAGACTTGGTTGATGAGCATGGAGCGGCAGCCTTGCACATGGCGGCGCTAAATGGTGAAGTGGAGATCGTGCAGTTTCTAGTCTCAGAATGCGGAGCGGACAAAGATCAAACCGGCGGCTTAGGTGCTACGCCTTTGACCATTGCAGGTGAAAGGGGACATGTAGAAACGGTTCGGTTTTTACTGGAAGCCAGGGCTGACAAAGACGCGACCAACCTCCGAGGGGCAGGAGCAATCCATATGGCTGCTTTGAGCGGACATCTTGATGTTGTGCGTTTGCTGGTTGAGGCAGGTGTCGATTGTGACCTGGTTGAGAAGAATGGGGCAACAGCTTTGCACCTCGCTTCTGAGCGTGGGTACAGCGCAGTGGTTACTTACCTTCTCCAGTCGCAAGCAAACGTGGACAAACCAGATGGCACTGGTCGAACCTCATTGCATCTAGCCGCTCTATACGGACACCTTGAGATCGTGAAAACTGTCATGGCTTTGTGCTCAGATGCAGACCTGCTGGATGGACAAGATTTCAGGCCTCTCCAGCTTGCAGCAGAAAACGGGCACACTGAAGTGGTGCGCTGCTTCCTTGAGGCCAAGGTTGACAAGGACACAGGGATGATGCTCATGGTCAGAGGACCGAAGACAAGCAGTCTTGCTTTACAGGACAGGGCTCCGCGTGGAGTGACGCCCCTGCACTGCGCTGCACGGTGTGGCTGGTGCCTCATTGGGCTTGGCAGGTGCGTTTGACATTTAATTACCGGAAAGACCAAGTGAGGAGTTGCAGAGATTCAAGACATGCATCAGTGATCCCGGTTTATAGTTTAAAGCCAAGCCGCATGCCGCGTGCACTACCAGAACTACAGCTTTGCCGCCTCAGGTCACTTAGGGGTGCTGCAGCTTCTGCTGGAGCTGCGCGGCGACATCGACAAGGCGAGCAAGCCGCGGGCCTCCGGGGCTTCAAATCTGAAGCCACCATCCCGACGCGAGGCTGGTGTGGGAGGTGCGACATCGCTGCACTACGCTGCGAACTTTGGGCACCTGGACAGCTCGCTCAGAGACGGTTGCTACTGCCTTGTCCATCGCACCACTGGCCGGGCCAAAGAGGGTTGTTGGACTGCTTAATTGCAGCATTTTGCAGGACATCGTGCTGAAGTTGATCGAGGTGTGGCATTTTCAGCTTGCTAAACTGCCGGCAGCCAGCTGGTCACGATGTCTGCTCTGGTGATCAGTTGGTGAAGGAAATGAGGTGTAGATTGGAATTTGGGCATCGTGAGTTAGTGCTGGGGCTAACGACTTTTTAAGGATGAGGAGGTCAGAGGTGAGGGAATGGACGGAGGACGGTCAAACGAACGATGAGAGCGGTGGCGAGCCCATCCGAAGCTGTGAGGCTAAAGCTCGCTTGGGCGCCACGACGGACGCTGGGCTCGGAATTTTTCATATTCTGTACCGAGCAAGTATCATGAGCTGGACACTTCGACTAGCGATTGGGGTCGATTTTCAAACTCCACCCAGGCGCAGGGACGCTCACCGTTGCTGCTCGCAGCGTCACGTGGACATGCAGAGGCGAGGGGACGGCTGCTGAATCTGAGGGCTCTGTGAGGGCCGTAAAATCCAGCAAAAGCAATCGTGTGTCGAGCTTTTCCACCTCAAGCTTCCTGCACCACCGGGGCTTGCATACGGTTCGAGTTTGGCATCGTCGTTCCTTCGCGCATTCCAGTGCGTGAGATTTCGCAGGTTGTTTCTTCCACATCTTCCAAATTGTAACAAGGACCGGCACGCCAGTCCCACACTGCTATTCGTTCGATTGGCCAGAACCAGAGCCGTCTCCTGCCAGAAGAAGCAGACTAGAGAGAGAGAGAGAGAGAGGTCAAGGGGTAACTCCCCTTGGCTCTGACCCCAAGCAAAGCAAAGCAAAGAGAGAGAGAGAGAGAGAGACCTTTGACGATCTATACTCTTTTCTCACTCCCCTTTGCCCAATAACACATTGGGTGGGCCTGGCGCCCGGGGGCACTGACCTGCCCCTATGCCCCGTGGAGANNAGAGAGAGAGAGAGAGAGAGGGGGGTGGTGGGGCTTCCCCTTGCCCATAGCCCTGGCGAAAGAAAGGGGTGGTGGGTGAAACAGGCATGCAGCTCATGCCTACCATTTCTGCTTTGCCATAGCGCCCGAACAACTTGGATCAGGAAGCTGACCTCCATGCGATCGCGTTTTGGGAGGCCCTCAAACGAAGCCTAGTTCAGCATACAATCAGGCTTCATTTTCACACCAGGTACCTGAAAGTTGTCATATTTTCAGTCTCTTTACGTCTGCCGTGGCCACGAAGTCGCGTTATGTGTTGGGTTCAGCCCTACACAGTCTACAGCAGACGAAACATAGAATCAAGAGCATTGGCCAGACATGAGCGCGGACTACAAAAGCTTTGTATAGGCCCTCCCAAGCGCGCAAGCCAGAACACCCGAGCACCTGAGTGCGCAGATTGCCTTGTGGCTTGGCTCAACCTGGCTCTTGCGCCGTGCCCGCATGAACGCTAGTTGCACTGGTGGCACTTGAGTGACGAACCAACGCATGCACTGGTGACGGTACCATGCTTTGAGTAGACTGAAAGCAACTAACAACTGGGCGTGGTGGCATGGACATGGTCACGGGTTGTCAAAAAGCGCGAAAGTGCAATGTGTTCCGTTTGCAGTGTAATTCGTTCTGACATAATGCTGTCTCTGGATCATCTTCGTTGACCTTCGTGAAGAGGAAGTCAGCCCCTCGAGTGGATTGATTTCTCGCGTCCCCTCGACCAGCAGTGTTAAGCAACAAGCTCCGGGGACTCCACCTCAGCAATTTCCGCATGCTTCTTCGCCTTGCCCTGTTGCAGAACTGTAGATGGACATGGAACGGGAAGTCTCTCACATGACGGTACGATGTCATCAACGGGTAACCTTGCAACCGGAAGAAACCGATGGAGCCGCAGAAAGCGAATCGTACGTACATGCTGCACGCAAACACAGCTTAGTGTACCATATTCAGTTTCTGTGTCTTATTGAGCATGCATGCAGGGCCAGTGCCTCAACTCATGACGCCTCGCGTCGCAGTTCTGTTGACCGGACAAAAACATTGAGAAACCTCAGTCAGGGCATATGGATTCAAGATGATTCAAGCAAACGCGAAAGCATTTAGAGACTCGTCCGCCGACTGTCTTTGTCCCTTAGCCCTCCGTACAGAAGATTCGCCCGTCTGCGAGGTGGTGGCTGCCTTGGCCAAGGCAGGGGGACCAGGGGATCTCCTGCGAGAAGCCCATTAGAAAGTCTGAGCACTTGCAGTTCAGGCCCGTGCCGATCTGGAGCAGGCAGCTCACAACAACGCGGCCTGGCAGCTGGCAATTGATGAGAGCAGAGTATAGTAGATGCCCTTCGCCCCGAGAGACTCTGCATTTCAGATTCTCTGGTTGAACTTGAGCAGATCAGCAGATCTTCAGTGGATAGTCATGCCGCAGAACATGTCTGAACCAGATCTCTTGAGCGCAGGTTCCTTCGTAGCTTTGAAGCATGTCCTAGGGCCCGGATTGTGCACTCAGGAAACCCCGCTGTATGCTGCAGCACAAGCGGGCTATGGAGAGGTTGCGCTTGCTGTTTTAAGACGATGAAAGCTGACTTTCGTTTGCTCATGACCGGTCGCTGGCGCACAGTTTGCATGTGGACGTTGCGCTTGGCTTCCTGTCTGTCTGCAGCAAGGTAGTGCGCGTGCTGTTGAACGACGACGACAGCTGGAAAGGCACCCAGCCGCTACGCGCAGCATCGCGGCAGCCTGGCGGCAAAGCTTCGCCAGATCGCAATTTCAACAGGGATCCAATCAGCATCCCGTCATGTGTTCGCAGCATCAGACGGATTTCGCGTTGCAGTCCTTTGTTGCAAATTCTTCATGCATGCAGGTGTGGACACATGGATGTTGATGTGGTCGGCTTCGACATGCCACAGGCAACATCTTTTCTCCTGCTTTCAATCTTGACAATTGGATGTGCAACAACCAGGATGGCCAAATGGGCTCTGTCCTTGCAGCAAGACCGCCCTCAGGCATGGTGCTACAAGATCCACGACTTTTTTGCTTAGAGCATCGACCTTCTGTCGGGCCTGTTTGCAGGGGGCACTCTCCCCCCGCCCGCAGGTCCCCAGCGTATTGCCGGTCGTCGCTGACATTCTCTTGAGATGCTTCTGAGTTGCACTCGGACAGTTCTGTGCTAAGTTTAATTCAGGGGATGTTACTGTAGTTCGCAGCACCAACCGAGGAGATGATATGGCATGGGATCCTGACAGACGCATGGTTCACCACCTTCCTGCGGGGTTTTCCAGCTTGCTGGTGATTTGATCCGCCCGCCTGCTGGAACCGGAACTGTTATTGCCACATGCTTCCCAAGTAGCTAAGTAGCATCTAAGTTCATTGGGGAAGCTTCTGTTGAATGATCAGAGCACCAGGCACAGCCGTGGCTGTACTGCACAAAGAGAATTCGCCAACTCACCAGCTGACGAGCTGCTGCAGCTTTCAGGAGCTCTTTCACGATGCTCTTAGTCTCTATAGTGCTGAAACCTGACATCGGCTGCTTGTGAACGGAGAGGTGGCGGATGCACATGGATACACATCCCTGGTTTCAATGGAGCTGTAAGATGTGGCAAACAAGACCACTCCGGCTTAAAGACTTCAGGGCCCTTGGAGAAATCCGCAGTGCCCCTCCGCAGCTCATCGCAGCATGATGCGTATCCACGGAGGATCATCCATGCCTGTGCCCTGGAGAGGTGCACCGAACTTGATGTGGGAGCATGAGCAGCTCGATCCTTGGTTCCAGGTTTGTGTGTTCTGTGAAACGTCCCGGCTGCTTCTCGTTTGCCCGGGTGTAGCTGCAGCGAGCGAGGCAACTGAGCACATGGGTACATGCGCGGTAGCAGGCTGCAACAAGAAGAGCATAGTACAAAGACCTGCTGGTACCAAGGAGGATGGTAATGGCAACATAAGGCACTACATCGTGTTGCGCTTCTCGACTTAAGCAAGAAGAGCTGAGCAAACTTGTGTGACATTTGCAAGAGGTCGATTTGGTTCTGGACCTTGCAATATGACGAGCGGTGTGCTGGAGGTTGCAATGTTTGGCTTACTAAAACATCAGGAGCCAGCGCCGTTTATATTGCTGGGTTTCTCCCAAACTCAAGCTCTCAACATCCCTAAACAATTCTAAGCCGTATCTACAGATCCTCAAATCCTAATATGTCCATGCCTAGCCCTAAAGGGCCTAAACCCTACATACTTGCACGATGTCGTCTCTTCCCTTAGCGGGCGAGCGAGAGCCGGCAAGGTGCCTCCCGAGAAGTCGCCGCAGGCCAAGCCCGGAGATGCCGAGATGTCATGTCATTAGGCTTTACATTTTGCGTTCTGGTTTTAGGGTTTAGGGTTCAGGATGGGTTGTACCGGAACGGTTGTACTGACACAAGAATAGCACGCTTATTAAGACAGTGCTAATACTAATACTAACCACTAGTAACAGTAATAGTAATAGTGATAGTGATTGTAGCATTAATGGAAGCAGCAATAATAGTGGCAATAGTCATAGCAATAGTAATCGTCATGGCACTAGTAATAGTGATGTTAGTAGTAATAGTAATCGTAGTAACACTACCAATAATAACTGGTAGTAAGCGTCATAGCCATGGTACTGGCAATAGCAATAGCAATACAACTAGTAATAGTATGAGCAATAGTAATCGTATAATAGTAGTAGTTATAGCCATAGCAAGAGCAATGGCAGCAGCAGCAGCAGCAGCTGCTGTTGTTGTTGCTGCAGCAGCAGTAGCAGTATCGCAGTCGTAGTGGTAGTCGTAGTTGTAGTCGTAGTCGCAGTTGTAGTAGTGTTGTAGTAGTAGTCGTCGTCGTAGTAGTAGTAGTAGTGGGAGTGGGAGTGGGAGTGGAGTAGTAGTAGTAGTAGTAGT